AGCCTGGAACTGCTTTGGATTCTGTGTCTCCCTCTCTCTCTGCCCCTCCCCCGTTCATGGTCTGCCTCTCAGTCTCTCAAAAATAAATAAATGTTAAAAAAAAAAAAACCAACAACAACCCCAAATCCCTCAAACGGAGGAAGAGTTTTCAAGTGTTGTCTGTTCATTTCTTCCTCCCCTTCCTTGCCCCTCCTTGGGGACGTTCAGGGACTGAGCGACAGAACGCGCGTCAGGAAGGTCGCTCAGTGATTCAGTATGTCGCTGAGCAGACAGCCCGCGTGGGTCCCTCTTTGCGCCTTCGTGGTATTCTGTATGTTCTAAGTGCTTTATGACAAAGAGTTGTTACTTGTGTTACGAAAAAACACCAATAAAACATACAATTAAAAAAAAAAACCCAAGGCTTTCCTCAAGTCCAGTGCTGCCCAAGAGAACCTTCTGTGATCAGGGACATGTCTACACCATCCAGTTCAGCAGCCGCTAGTCACATGTGGCCACGGAGTGCCTCTGATGTGGCCAGTGTGGTAAGGAAGAGAATTTTAAAAAGTTTTTTCTTAATATTCATTTATTTTGTGGGGGGGGAGAGAGAATCCCAAGCAGGCTCCACACTATCAACGCAAAGCCTGACGTGGGGCTCGAACTCATGAAACGAGAAATCATGAGCCAAAGTCAGACGCTCAACCAACTGAGCCACCCAGGCACCCCTAGAGAGAGAATTTTAAATTTAATTTCACTTCTGTTTACATTTAAACAGGTTACCATGTGGGACGACACAGCTCCAGATGCCTGTAAGATTCTTGGGGGCGATGTGGCAGGATGAACAAAAATTGGTCCTCCTTCCGAGAATTTCTCGCCAGTGTGTTAACACCTGTGTAAAAAGTGTCTTGGGCCAAAAAAACACACAGAATCATCCAACAAACAATTGCTGCGTCCAGCCTCGTGAGGGGTCAGGGTGGGCCAGGGTGGAGGGTACAGAATAAATGCCAGGCGGGCTCGGGGGGTGAGGTGATCATCCCTGGGCCGGCAGGTGGGTGATTCCGGGGGAGGGGCAGAACTTTGGGGTAGACGGCCCCGAGGACCGCGAGGAACCCGCATCCTGTCATCACTCTCTCCTCCCTTCCTCCTGAGCCCGATCCGCCCACTCAGCAGGCTCCAGGACACGTCCCTTGGGTGGGGTGCAGAAGACAAGCCCCGCTCTCCCCCGGCTCCGCCCCACATCCCGGTCCCCCAGACCAGGCCTGCAGAATGCCGGGAACCTCAGGGAAACAGCTACTTCCTGGTGAGTTAACAACTTCGGGAAGTAACTCCCTCAACGTCATGGCCTTCCCCTCTGGCCTCCTGTGTGCAGCTCCCCTCTGCCTCTGTTTATTAAAAACTGACCAGGGCGCCTGGGGGGGCTCGGTCAGTTAAGCGTCCAACTCTTGATTTCGGCTCAGGTTGTGATCTCACGGTTCATGAGTTCGAGTTCCGAACGGGGCTCTGTGCGAACAGTGAGGAGGCTGCCTGGGATTCTCTCTCCCCCCTCTCTGCCCCTCCCCCTCTCACTCTCTCAAAATAAATAAATAAACTTTAAAATAAACAAGAAACTCACCACCCCAGTGTCCTCTCCCAGACCTGCTTGTTCATTTTGTCAGCCCCTCGGTCGTGTCTCACAGAGATGGTTGGACCCAATCTCACCTGTGGTGGAACGGGGGAGAAGGAGCTCCCAGGAGGGGAGAAGACGGACCTTCATGGAGACCCAGTGACATGTGGGCGCTGGGAGGGGCTCTCAGGCGTGACCACGGCCCATTCTCCAAATCACCCCTCCGGCAAACATCCTGCCCTCTTAGGAGGAAAGAACATCGAGGTGTGTGGAGAAGGAAAGCATCTTGCCCAAGGTCCACCCACAAGTGAGCTGGGGGGCTGGGATTCTGGAAGATTCTGGAGGATTCTAGCAACTGGGCTGTTGTGCTGGCCATGGCCACACATCCTCCCAGGAGAGACAAATACCACCACCCACACCTGGAAGAGCTGATTCAGAGCACAGAAGGGAGAGAAGGCAGGGGCAGGGGAGGAAAAGCTTTGGGTGATTGCGTGATTCGTCTAACCTAAGACCAACCGCAGGAAGCATTTAGCCGCGGTGGTGACGGTGGTAAATTTCTGAATGGCATAACTTATGCTGCAGACAGCTCTTCACGTACCCGTTCCTTCAATCCTGCAGCTTCCCGATGAGGCAGTTCCGCTGTGATCCTCCCCATCCGACAGGCTCAGGATGGGGAAGGATTTGCCCACGGTCACTCGATTGGTGAGGAGTGGATCCTCAAACCCGGATCTCCAAAGCTGGTGCGGGGGCCTCTCTTCCTGGGCTGGCGGAACAGAAGGACGCACCCCCAGAGCCCAGCCGTGTCCCCGTCACATTTTGCCTGCCCTGACGGTGACCGGGGCTCCCAAAGTACAGTCCCGTCAGGACCATCAGAACTCAGATGGGGCCCGGAGTGATTCTGACATCTCCCTTCCCCTCCTGACGTAGACAGACGCACACCGTCCATCCCTGCTGGCCCTGCGGACAAGAGCATCTCTGAGGGTCCCCCCCACCTCTGATGCTCAGGGCGAGCTATGGACCCTCTGACTCATGGAACGGACGGAACGGAGTCTCCCTCCTTCAAACAGCAAGAGGCATGTGTGACAGCCTCTGAGGAAGGCGAGGAACGTGGAGCTGGGGACCCAGGCCGAACGAGAGGGAGACCCCCAGGTGCCCAGGCGAGGTTCCCGAGGGTCTTGGCAATGCAGCCAGCCTGGTGCATCAGCAACCGCCCAGCCATCCGCCGTCCCACCATGCCCTCCCCTCGCTAAGACAAAAAATAGGGTATTAGGGGCTTAATAAAAAAAAAAAAAGCAGGTTTTGAAGTCATGGTGACTGGAGCCAAGTCTCAGCTCAGCCGCTTACTCACTGGCCGCTCAACTTCTCTGACCTTCTTTATCCCTCCTGCGTACATTAGAAGACAATGGTACCCACGACGTGTGTTCATTAGAAATAGATCAACAGGTGAGCGATGGGCCTAAGGCTGTGGGTGCAGAACCTGACTTGTCCCAGGGACAAGGGGACGCGTTTGGTCGCAGCCAGCCGTGATGATTCTTTTCTACTTTGTCAAACACTTGCTTTCCTAGCCTCCTTTGTAACGAGGGGTGGTTATGTGATCCACTTTTAGATGAGGAGAAAGGAAAAATTCTACTGGGATGCATCTGGGAGTGATTTTCTTCCTTAATAAAAAGACTGAAGCTTTGGGGAAGAAGGCCCTTGGGCTCTGCCCTCTTTTTCCTGCTGGGGATGCTGCATCCGGGGGCATGATGTTTGGGGCTGTGGTAGCCACTTTGTGACAATGAGGCAACCAGCTTGAGGATGAAACTTCAATGGGTGTATGAAGGGGCAGTCTGGATCCTTGACGATGTTGGTGGGTGTCTAAGCCGGCCCTATGACCATATATGCCTGTTTAAGCGAACAGTAACTATTCTTATAGTTGGGTTTTCCATTGCTTGCAGTCAAAAGCATTCCTATCATAAGCCGTTGAGTGAGGCTGATGGGCAGAGAATGAGGGGCTCTGATGCAGCGGTGGGTTTGATAGGATTGCAGGGGAAGCAGAGGGCATTTTTCAGAAGAGTCTTGTGAGTTGCAATCTGGATCCCTTAATGCCCCTCGCAAGTGCAAGTATGAATTGGAATTACGTCTTGTTTCCTTTTGATTATTCCACTGTGTGCTCTGACCAGCCGAGACGGAGCCTTGTAGAGAAAAGGTTATTTGGATTGCATTTGAAACCACAACTTGGGTTCTTAAAAAAATTCAGGAACTGCAAAAGAGGTAGAACCAAAGGAAGTTTCCATGAGGACGGTCATCTGCCTTAAGTTTGCACTTTTTCTTTGGAATGACTTAGGGGGTATAAAATCAGCTTACTGCCAAAGAAACTAGAGAAGGGACACTGATTTCCAAGTATAGAATACTCAAAAAATCAGAACCGTAACTCTCGGAAAAGTGAGAACCCATCACAGTAACTTTGTTCATGGATGAGGGAACTTGCAGAATGACAAAGGTGGTTCAGAAGTGGCTGAGAGAGACCCATAAAAAAGCTACAACACTGGTTATCGTCTTGGGTCCTACCAAGCAAGAAAAAAAAAAAAAGGGGGGCGGGGGGAAGGAAACTCTGAGGTTATCTTTTCTATTGACCACGGATCATTCGCCTCTCTTCGGGACCATCACTGGCAACTTATCCATCCTCTACAAGTTCTAACAGTTCCCCTTTCAAAATTTTTTTAATGTTTATTTATTTTTGAGAGAGAGAGAGAGGAGACAGAGTGCCGACAGGTGGGAGCCTGCTTCCGATTCTGTGTCTCCCTCTCTCTCTCTCTCTCTGTCCCTGCCCCGCTCACACTCTGTCTGTCTCTCTCTCTCTCAAAAATAAATAAACATTAAAAAAAATTTTTTTGTAAAGCTCCAGGCTTTTTCAGACTCGCCGCCTGTTGAGTTATAGTCTCTCTCCCGTCTACCGAATCACTATTCTTTTCGTATAGACAGACTTGGCTTCTCTGGGCAGGCCCTCCTCTCTTTCTTTCTGCCTTTCCAGTCCTGTTTCTGTCCAACAGCCTTCTGATTCGGCATTCCCAATTCTGGGAAACGGTTGGCAAGGAGCAGTCCTCGATTCGGGGACGAGAGCCGGCGCTGGGTCAGGAGGCAGATACCGTAATACATCCTACGTACTAGGTCTGCGATTCCAGGCAGAAGAAGGCTCAGGTGGAAAGACCCAGCTGTGTGCTGTGCACACACACACACACACGCACACGCACACACGCATGGACTGTGAAGCCCGTGCAGCTTGGGGCCCAGGGCCTCTCACTTCCCAGGCCCTTGGAAGGGGTCTAACAATTCCGTGTTCACAATTTCAAATTCATTTTCTCAGTGCGCGCCTCCAACAACGGAAGCACTGGGCCCCACGGGACCGGCGTCTGCCCCCTCCGTCTCTAACAACTGGAGAAGAGCTGCCATGATAGGAGGCCTTTAGGGGTTCCCACCTGCCGTGTCTTTTGGGGTGTACGCAGTACCCATCCCCAGTGGTTAATCTTGCCCCGGTCAGGTGGGGCCTGCTCTGGGCCGGGTTCCGCGTCGGGCAGGCTGCTTCCCGGTCGAGCTCTGGGACCCCTCTCGGTCCCGCGGTGACCAGGCCGTTTTCCATCTGACAGCTGGAAAGGAGACAGGCTGGCACGTGGCCCTGGGGGCCCGACGGGGCGATCACAGGACTAAATGACATCTTAATTACTCGAGTCCCGCTCTTGGCCTCGGCTTCCCATCCCACAGCTGGGAGGCCCCAACCGCCTCTGAGAGCTGCCGGATCCGGGCTAATCGGCTCTGTCACCGGTCTGACGCACCTCCCAGCCTCCCCGGGCCCCCTGGGCCTCTGTCGCTCACCGATTTGGGGAACTGGGGGCTTATCTTTAGAGAGCAGATGGAGAAGTTCTCATTTTTTATTAAAGCCATCCAGTCTGCATGGAAAAAGTAATCTGCCGGCAGCTGCTAGAATAGCTATTTTAAATGCATTTCCCGAGCTCCTCAGCTGTCCAATGGAGCTGGATTTCTCTGCCTCCCCTCTCTTGGAACACGGCCAAGTGCTGGTGTCCTGCTCGTAGCTGGGGGGCCTCCTGCATGACGGGGGGAGGAGGGGGTTGCCAGGGTCTCCTGGTTTGCAGCTGTCAGCTTCCAGCTGGCATGAGGACCAGGTGCCCAGCGCCCAGGACGGGCTCCTCTGGACTCCCGATGCCCACTGGAGGGGGTCTTGGGAACGTGGGGAGATTCAGCACTCCCTTTCAGGCCTCTCCCCCCCCCCCCGCCCCCTGTTCCCACTGCCAATTCCTGATCTGCACTCTCCTGGGTCACTCGTTCATTCATTCATTCA